AAAAAAAAAAAAAAAAAAAAAATCGGTCTGCCCATCTTACCTCCATGTACTGGCGGGATTCGAGACCAGAGGCAAAATGCTTCCCTCAATGTACTTGCACGAATCATAGACAAGACCAACATGCTTCGTCCCATTTGCTGGCGGGATTCAAAAGTTTCGATGCTAAAATGAGGACAATGTCTTGAAGTTTTCTGTGCATCGCGGCTGGGGAGGACAGGGGCGCACCAACATCTACGCAATGGGAAAGCGTGCATTTCATTGACTTTTCTTCATGTGACCACACAACACGAACACACCAGGGAATCAAGAACAAAGTTGACCGTGTACTCGCGTATCATTCAGACGAAAAAGGGTGGCAAAAGGGTCAACTAAAAATCAGAGGCACAAACAACGTGCAGTACTTTACCTTGCTATTCCCTCAGTCTAGTTTCCAGAGGATGCAGCCGCACCAAGACGTCCATAACGGGACACAAGCCCAAAAACATGCAACGCACCACAGCGGGAGCGGCGTCGAACGAATTCCCAACATTTCGAATTGGGGTCTGAGACGACACCCCTACCTTAAACTACCTAAACTAAACCCACTGTTTGAAGGTTCTTTTTATAAACCCTAATATGGGATTTGTATGGACCCTACAGAAAAGTAGGTTCTGGTGGGTTACGGTACACGCTAAACCCTAACAACCCCTGAACTAAAGGCGACCCAGGAACCTTCTGGTTGGTGGCACTGCGGGACCAGTCCAATTCCTTTGCAGCTAGCTGACGGCTTGGGGTTCAGGGTTTAGGGTTTAGGGTTTACAGCCGTGTGCAAATTTCCGGCTTGCCTGTAGTCCTCTTGACCCAAAACCCTAGTCGCACGGATTTGTAGGGTCTCTGACGGACCTATCTGCCATCCACCAGTCCAGCCAAAATGCATGGTCGAATAAACCTCCACGAAAAGTATAAGTTTACAAAGGTCTAAGGCGGGGGGCGCGCGAAGAATTTGCCTTTGTCAACACGAACATGCTATAGATGAGTGTGTGTAGTACTGGCCACAGCCACTCCAAGTAAAAACGGAACCACAGAATACTTAGCAATCATGCCGCATGTAACCGTTGTACGTTTGGGTAGGGTTTGCGAGGTTTGGTTGACTTCGCCGTACTCTAGACCCTAAACCCGCAACCCTCATGCTAAAGGCGTAAAGCCCCCTGCCAAACCCTAAACGTATGCGACAGCTTAAACCCGAACAGCCCGAAGCCTAAATCCCAAAGCCTATGGCTTTTGCATCGTTGGGTGTAGGGTTCAGGACGGGGCAGCAAACCCTAAATCCTAAACCCTGAACAACCCCTAAGGGTCCATGTACTCATATAGTATATACATTGGCCCTAATGTAGCCCCTATACATGGGTGGTTGTCCAAATTATGGTCCCTTTTTGGGTCCATAATATAATACGGCACCTAATATATAGGGTACCCCAAAAAAGACCATAATTTTGACAACTACCCACATGGACCCTTAGGGAACAAGACAAGGTGCGTTTGCTTTGTAGCAGGAGGTCAAGGAGACGGTCGCAAGGGCCAATACCAGGAGGACGCTTTCCCCGTTGTTCCAGGCCTCCAGCAGCAATGCTTAGGGTTTAGGGTTTAGGGTTTAGGGTTTAGGGTTTAGGGTTTAGGGTTTAGGGTTTAGGGTTTAGGCATTAGCGGTTCAGGGCTTATGACTCTAACAAAGACCACAGCACAAGCATGACAGTCATCATCACCAGCATCGTCGCCATCATCATCACCATGGCAGTATCATCTTGATCCTTCATGATCCTTCCCATCATGACAATCATCAACAAAGCATGATCTGAACTAACCTGACACCAGATGGCTTTGGTTCGGGGGGGAGGGGCTCTGTGGCGGTGTGCAAGCGAAGCAGCTTCGGCTCCTTGTCACAGGTCGTCCAGAATAGCAGTCAGAAGTCAGGTAGGGTTGCTTGGAGGTTAGTGCATGGTCAAGATGATCGCAGTGGCCTCAAGCATCGAACACCTGAGCTCTACTGCCCAAGGCCTCCGCAACCTAAGCATCGGCACCGACAGCCCTGGATCCGAAACTGCATCCCGCCCCACGCCCCTCAACCTCGAGCCTTCGAGACGTAGGGGGCGCATCGGTGGTTCATGACCAGTGAGATCAGCAGGATCACGCTGATGCACTCCATTTGCATCGAAGCGTGTAGCCTTCGTTAGGTGCGGAGCCCGGAACCGATGCGTGGGTAGCCAACTGATTCAGGAGAACGCACTTCTGACTTCTGGCTTGCAGCAGTCACAGCAGTGGCCATCAACCACAAAAGTTAGCAGGACCAGGAATGTGTCTGCTGGAACAGATCACTGCGCGAAACTATGGCCCTGCTGATGTTTCCCTAACCTCCCAGGTACCTACTATATAGGGTACTAGAGCCCCTAGGGCCCTATATGGGGGGTTTCCGAAAACAGGGGACCCTAATATAGCACCCGACATAGTAGGATCCTTATAAAAAGGACCCCAAAATGAAGGTACCCCCTAATTGTCGGAAACTCCCATATCTATATAGTAGGTACCTAAACCCTAAACCCTAGGTTAGGGTTTGGGGCCTACGATGCTCCCAACGGGAGCCGAGGATTCGTCTGCGACGGCCCCAAGTTGACCTAGGAGCTGGCCTTCCCCTCTCCCCCAGACTTACGACGGGTTTAGGGTTCAGGGTTTAAGG